TGGTCTCCAGTGTGAGGAAAGTATATTTAAGGCCATATGTGCAGATACTCACATATAATTCTATAAGTCCTTTTTCTTTTTCTAAAAAAGGAAAAATAACAACATTTACAAATTTGAGTTTTTTAAGCTTTCCTAATTTTAACATTGGCAATTTCACTGATGTGTATATCAAGCAGGTCATTCCTACTCAGCTTATAAGATAGCTGAAGGCAGAGTAAAGGTTCCACAAACAGAGGGGTTGACAGCAAGACCCTCAGGAAATTACTGTACACATATAGATCAGGTTAAGTAATTTTCAAATTATATTACTGAATTTTAACTAACTTACCACTCCCCAAATGAGCAAATGGCTTAAACCATTTCTACAAAGAAGCCATGAATTGAGGTAACAGACAGTATAGTATAGGCAAAAAAGAAAATGGCAGCGCAGACAATTCTATTCATAGCAGCTCTTCATCAGTAACAGGAAGTATAAACAAAGACAATCTAATCCAGTTTGACAAGTCAGCCACTCTCCAAAAAAATTCAAAATTATCAAAAAGGCTAACTTAAGGCAGATTTATATCCTGCTATTTTTAAAACAGTTATATCTCTAGGGGAAGGGGTATTCAGGGACTGACCCCACCAATGTTTTATTTTGTGTATGTGTTGATGTAGAACAACAATGGGTCCCTGACCCTTCCCTTTGGGATACAACTATTAATTCAAATCTTGCCATTAGTATATATTGAGCTATTAACAAATATAATTTAGAAATATATTGTCAATTCTTATTATAATATGACCCACATTATAACCCATGGAGTTACAACTCATGATAATATAAACTTTGAAACCTGTTCCTGTCTCCCTGTTCGAACAGAGGGGATCTGAAATATCTAGTTTGTAAAGTTGAAGGATTGTCAGGAAAAGGAGGGTAAAGACATACAGAGAAGTAGAAAAGCAACTCTCAGTCTCATAAGTACAGAAGAAAGGATTGAGTCTCTGCTTCTGCAATATTTGCTCAGCCTAATCTCTCCTGATCATAATAGGAATGAAGTAACCAGATTCCTATTACTCTCATGTTGGTTGTATGATGGTGGCTAATCATTTACCCTATCTTCAGCTTTGGGTAGATAAATATAGCTATAAAGTTCTTTTAACTCCCATGATGTATGGTCCTAATAGTAATATCATTATTGACTTGTGCACTGGTTAAGCTTTCACTCATGAACAAACACTATTTATGGATGTGGAAGCTTGACTGTTACATGATTGTGTACAATGTTAAGATAACAGAATAGACTAAGCAAATTCTTACCACGCCAGTAAAGTCACAAGAGTCTTCATCAATCATTCATTCAGGGATATGGCAATAAACAAAACAGACAAGATCCCTGATTTTTAAGGAGCTTACATCCTAGTTAGGAAGATATTCTCTTCCCCATCCTCAGAGTGTAGTAAAACAGACTCCTCAAGCCTTGAACAGAAGAATGGGTAGACTCCAGGTGACAGCAAATAATCAATCAAAATCACCATCATGACTAGATTACTAAAATGGCAATGAAAAGGCACTGCTTCAGGAGCCCCAAGATCTGGGGTCTGCCCCTCACTTGCTGTAGATCTTTGGAAAATAAGTTATTATTTCTAAGTCTCAGTGGGAGAAGTAAAAAGGTTAGACCAATGGTTCTCAGATATTCCTAATGTCATGACTCTTTTGGAAACCGTTACCAAGATAATGTCAATCTTTAAGTCTCAGAGAAATATACAACTACACATATAAACCTAACTTCTGAATATAATTTCAAGATGTTCTTTAATGCCCATTTACCCTTGTATAACCTACTCTCCTGCAAGCCTGTCCAAATTCTTGACACAAAGAACTCAAGGGCATGATAGTGACTGTTTTATACTCCCATAATCTGGGGCAATTTATACCACAATAGATAACTGGGGCATCTTTAAGCTATAAGGGGGATCATATAGTATTTCTCACACAAAGATATCATGAATCCAATTATTTATCTAAATAGTATTTAAGTATTGTTGATGCTACAGTGGGCATTAGTTTAAGAGAAAACCAAGATCTAGAAAATCAAACTCAAAACTCTGATGAGGGTCACTATCCTGACAGATATATAAGCAAAAAGAAAGAAAGAGAGAGAGAGAGAGGAAGAGAGATCTGACAGTTATTAAAACCCCTTATGTTGCTCGGCGCCTGTGGCTCAAGCGGCTAAGGCGCCAGCCACATACACCTAAGGTGGCAGGTTCGAATCCTCAGCCCGGGCCCGCCAAACAACAATGATGGCTGCAACCAAAAAATGGCCAGGCGTTGTGGCGGGCGCCTGTAGTCCCAGCTACTTGGGAGGCAGAGGCAGGAGACTCACTTGAGCCCAAAAGTTGGAGGTTGCTGTGAGCGTGATGCCATGGCACTCTACCCAGGGGGATAGCTTGAGGCTCCATCTCAAAAAAAAAAAAAAAACCCCTTATGTTAATGGAATCAGAGTTAAATTTCCAAGTTCATCCATTGGACAAGTATTTACAGAGTACTCACTAGTACCAGGTACTATTCTAGATGCCAGGCCTATACAGTGAACATAACAGATAAAAATCACTGCCCTTATAGCACTTATATTCAGTGGAAGGTAAAGAAACAATAAATAGGACTAATAAATATGCTAAATGGTATTAGACACTGAGAAGAAATGTAAAGCAAGGAAGGAAGCTAAGGAGTGTTGCTGACAGGACTGATGATGGCAATTTCAAATATGAGGGTAACAGAATGCCATACTGAGGTGACACTGTGTCAAGATTTTAAAGAGGTAGAATAAGCTAAATGGCTACACAACATAAGAGTATTCCAGGCAGAGCAAATATGAAGGCCCTGAGGCCTATGTGGCTGGAGTTGACTGAGTAACCAAGATAGTAAAAGATGAGGTCAAAAGGAAACCCAGCACCAGATCATATAGGCAAATTCTGGCATGAACTCATTAGCTCTGAACTTGGAACCAAGAGAACCAAGCTTGGCTTGGCCCCTGTGGCTCAAGCAGCTAAGGCGCCAGCCACATACACCTAAGATGGCAGGTTCGAATCCAGCCCGGGCCCGCCAAACAATAATGGCTGCAACCAAAAAATGGCCGGGTGTTGTGGCGGGCGCCTGTGGTCCCAGCTACTTGGGAGGCTGAGGCAGGAGACTCGCTTGAGCCCGGAGTTGGAGGTTGCTATGAGCAGTGAAGCCATAGTACTCTACCCAGAGGCTCAGCTTGAGGCTCTGTCTCAAAAAAAAAAAAAAAAAAAGAGAGAGAGAGAACCGAGCTCAATGACAGCAGTAATATTTTTATCTATTTTGTTTGATAATTTAACACCAGCACCTAGAACAGTGTCTAATACCTAATAGACTTTCACAACATATTGCTGAATGAACAAATAAAGTCTTGGTCTTAGCTGTATCACTTAGCAGCTAGTTGGCTTGTACTAAATTACTCCAACTTTTTGATCGTCAGTTCTCAAATCTAAAACTAGAATAATCATTTTCCCCCACATCACAGGATCATAGAAGTATTTTGCAAACTGTAAAGCAACATAGACAGGTAAAGTCTTAACATTATTATCGAAAAAGTGAACAACTTCTTTAATTATTACTCATATATTAATGATTAACAACATCAATGATCTCTCTGCCTTGCTTCACTAATTTCTATCTCTGAATTATTCTCTCCATCCATAAGTCAGGAAACCAAGGCAGGGCTGTCTGATCTTCAGCATAAGAGAGTGAACTTTAAGCACTTGAAGGTTTTGCTAAATAAGTGTCAGTGATTAAGACAGGATAGCTATTCCTACCAACTTTTCTTTCAGACCCTCTGAGAAAAAGAATGAGGCATAGTTTCCACGTGAGGATTCAACACCCTTTTGTAAAATTAGGTATGTCTGCAAGCCATTTTTTTCCTGTCAAAATGCGAGACTACCCAATAAGAACACCCTGACACTTCTCCAGATGTCTGGTTCCTCAGTTAAACCTACACGGGACTGTTGAAAGAAAGGAAAGGTGGGAGCATAAGGAATTTTCAGGATTAGAAAGGCCTTTTCAGGGATCAAATAATCTGATGATCTCAAGTGGCTTGAAAATCTACCACCTAACTCGTTCTTCAGTTTTCTCATCTGTAAATGGGGATAATATATGCTTCAATTATAAAATAAAATAATGCATATAAAAGCAACTGAGAAATATACAACTAATGGCAAAGCACTCATTAAAAGTGGATGAATCTGGAAATTCTTCCTTTCTTCAACAAATAAATGAACGTCTACAATATGTCAGTCAGTATCTAGGCACCGGGAAAGGGCTATAAGCAGAAAGGACAAAAACCTTGTTCTCTTGGAGCCAACATTTACCTACAACTGGGCCGCTCCTGGTCTCTAGAACTACATATGACTTTTATATACCTTCTCCACAGAATATAGTCCTTTGGGATTTTGCAGGTCGCTATCACGGAGCCATGCCCTTTCCTCCATCATAACAAGCAGCCTTAATTCTTTCAAGGAGTAAGCAAGAAATAAAGTAACAGGAGCTAAGGACAGGGTTGGGTGGGGCGAAGGCGGGTGCCAGGGCGCTTGGGATGAAAAAGAAATCAATAGAACCGCTCAGACTCCCGGCCAAGGTCAAGCAGGGCCGGTCCAACTCAGGTGTGTCACCTGACACCTCTCCCGGGAACCGCCACCCTGTCCTCTCTAGGCCCCACAGCGGTCCCAGCCCGGCTCGGAGCGCCGGCCCTAGGGGGCGCCCTGGTCCCGGGATGGAGACTGAAGAGGCTGGCTAGGGCCCTCACCCATCCGTCCTCGGTCGCTTGGGAAAGAATCCCCAGCTTCATTCTTGGTGTATTCAGGCTCCCGCTTCCCCAGCCCAGGCCTCGCCGCCCCCGAAATCCCCTCATCGAGCTGCTTCACATGCATAACCCTCTTTCTTTCCACAGCCGCACCCGCTCTCCGGTCCCCACTGACAGTCACTGCCCAGGAGCACTCACCTGCGAGCCCAGCCCCGGCCCCTCCATCTCCTCAGGCACCCACAGCGGCGGCGGAAAAGTAGCAAAGAGCCGTCGGTAGCCCGCTTGCCAGCCCGCCCTGGGCCACCTCTTCTCACACTTCCTGCTGGCGCTCCCGCCTCTGCCGCGGAGGTAGGCGCTCGCGCCCTCTGTTGTCAATCAACCACGAGAACCAATCCCCGTCTAGCGTCTGCTGGAGGCGGGACTTTCCAACAGCCCTGAGGCCAGTTGTGAAAGACCCGGGGGAGGCTCCGCCCCTGGCCCGCCCCTCAGTTTGCGCTCCCCAGGCCCTAGCCGCAGATCCCACCCTCCACCTGGTGTCCACCTGCCCTACGTTCACACAGGTATGTTCAGGCTGTTATTCCAACATAAACCACCATCTACTGAGAGCAAATAAGGACTTGGCTACTTAATGGCTAGATGACTTTGTAAAAATCTTTTATCTCCATTTCCTTATATGTGAAATTGGGAAGATAAGGGTACCTACTTCATAGAATTGCCAGAAGGCTGAAATTAGAAAAAGCATGTAAATCCCCTCAGTCACTGCTTATACTTAATACAAAGGAATCAGTAGATGCTGGCTGTTAAAATATTTGCCACTCTGCATTCGTGTTATCTTGGGCAAGTTACTTCTACCATTTGGAGTTCTGATTCCTCACACGAAACAGATAACGCGCAGCTTAGAGGAAGACTGGGCAAGACATCCCCCCACATACACACACTCCCGCATGCCCTTTTGAGGACCATACTAGAGAAGCTGGCATTTAAGCCCTGTCCAGCTTGAAGGTCTACTAAGCAAAGATGAGTGTGGTTCCTGCCCTTGGGGCACTCCAGTGGGGCAGTGGGCTCTCCTACTGCAGCCCCCAGGAAATTCTGGGGCTTTTCTAGTCCAGTATTTAAGACAGTTCTTTGCAATTATTCTTTGTAATGTATCTGTTGCTAAGCTGAACCAGAGCATTGAGCTTCGGAAGCTAATTTGTAAAAGAAGCGACAACACTGACTCCCTTAAAGAGTCTAGAAATCCAAAGTGCTGAGTTTTGCCATGAAAAGTACTACCATGATACGACAAAATTGTAGATTCGTTATTAATATTAGTGTAGTGTCTCTGCCTATTGGGCATACCAACCCTAGGTTACCCCGAGAGTCCAAGCCCTTCGAGGGCAGGAACCATGTAGTATTCATCTTGGAACTTCCAGTGCCCAACATAGCACTGGGACATGGTAAGTGCTCATCACAACTTCATTGAATGGATGAATGGATATACAGGTTGCCACCTGGGAAAGAATCCCCATCATCATTCTCAGTGTTGGTAAGCTCCCGCTTCCCTGGCCCTTCTATGATACAAAGAAGGACAAATGGCATGACAAGCATAAGGGCAAGCAATTTCCATCAAAAGCTGGAAGAAAAAGAAATTAATTCAGACAGGTTAGCATGAAGCCTTCCAGAGGAGAGAAATTTTGGCTGTGGTCGTTTTTCTTAACTAATCAGAGTTCTTGCTATTGATCACTCACTATGTGTTGGCACCTATGCTGGTGTTTTGCATACATTATGTTTAATCCATGAGGTGGTTGTTATTTTCTCCATCTTCCGGAAGAAGAAACTGAAGTTCAGACTGGTTTCATAAACCCCAACTCACCAATTGGTAAGTGGGGGAAGGAGGATTCAAACCCATGTCTCTTACTGAAAAGTGCTTTGCCCAAAGCAGGTTAGCTCTTACATTTTCAAAGACTGGTTTAGAAAATGTTGAACCTAAGGGAAGCTTGAAATCTGCTACTTCAGTGGGTCTGCACTGATAGCTAACAAACAAAAGATTCTGGAGGAAATAAATGCTAACACCCCACTCTTTAGCCAGGCTGTTCCCCTCCACTCATTTGTTTTGTACCTCCAATGAGCTAGTTCAGACTGGGATAAGTGTATCCATATCTAATGGCTATATGAAGGCCAACCCAGTGATGCCTCTCAGTGCCATTATCTCTCACCTTTGAAAATGTCTTTGGCTTGTAGAGAAACCCCAATAACCAATAAAGGAGCCTGATGGTAGAAGCATATTCCTGGAGCTGACTGCCTGAGCTTGCATCCCAGCTCCTGCACCTGGAATCTGTGTGCCCTTGGGCAAGTTGCTAAATGTCTTTGTGCTTCAGTTTCCTTCCCTGTAAAAATGAGATAACAGAACAGTTCTTACTACACAGTGCTATTGAGAAAATGAAATGAACTAATGTATGTAAAGCATCAATAGTTGGAAGAGTGCTTGGTAAATACTGGACACTATAAATGAGTTAGCTTTTAGCATTATCATTGTCCTCCTAAGAAGGGGTGTTGGGGAGAGCACTTGAGTGCATCAACTGGTGCTATCATCCAAAAGCCAAGGATAGAAATTCAGCAGGCTTGGCTTCTAGCTCAAGCCTTGCCTTCACTTTCTGTGTATATTCGTCTACTAGACCTGTCATAACAAAGTACCTCAGATTGGGTGGCTTAAACAACAGAAATTTATCTCACAGTCCAAGAGACTGGAAGTCAAGGTGTTGGCAAGCTTGGTTTCTTTGAGGCCTCTCTCTTTGGCTTATAGATGACTGTCTTCTCCCTGCATCTTCACATGGTCTCCCTCTTTGTATGTACCTGTGTCTTAATTTCTTCTTATAAAAACATTAGTTGCCGGGCGTGGTGGCTCACTCCTGTAATCCTAGCACTCTGGGAGGTCGAAGTGGGTGGATAGCATGAGCTCATGAGTTCGAAACCGGTCTGAGCAAAAAGTGAGACCCCTGTCTCTACTAAATATAGAAAACCTGAGGCAAGAGGATCACTAGAGCCTGAGTTGGAGGTTGCTGTGAGCTATGATGCCATGGCACTCTACCCAGGGTGACAGCTTGAGACTCTGTCTCTAAAAACAAACAAACAAAAAAAAACATTAGTTATATTTGTTAATGGCCCACCTGAATGACCTCATTTTAACACTGTTACCTCTTTAAAGACTATCCCCAAATATAGTCACATTTTGAGGTACTCAGGGCTAAGACTTCAATATATGAATTTCAGGGGGACAAAATTTAGCCCATAATGCTATGTGACCCTGGGAAAATCACTTCCCTTCTCCATGACAGTGCCTTCATTTGTACAATAGACATGAGAGCAGAGGCTGGAATCACTGACATCTGTGGTCCCTCTCAGCTTTGATCATATAATTTCCCAAGCTGGGACCATACTCTATCTTTCTAGTCCCCCCAACACTTTTAGATTTATTTTAGGTGGCACTGTTCCCTTCATTCTACAAACATGTAATGAGCTCCTGCTGTGTACCAGGCACTGTTCAGCACTGAAGATTCAGGATTGAGCAAGCCAGGTAAACCTCTTTCCTGCTTTATAAGGCTTCCTGTGTAGCAGCAAGAGACAGATTTTGATTAAACAGGCTCACAAAAACCTCTCATCATCAGCCTTGTTGTAGATCCTCTTTCTTCCACTTGGTCATTAGCTACTTGTGTACATCCAACTTGTGTCCTCATCATACTTTGTACGAGGTCTGATACAGGCATGATGAAGCTGAAAAAGAATTGTTGTTGAAACAAATGAACAAATAAATGTGTACAACTAGAAAACTGGTTTGTAAGATGACATCAAAAACAGCTCAATTCCATAAATCACTCTAAGACGTGCTGATTTCACAATGTTTAACAATTCTTGGATTAAAAAATTCCATGTTTAATCATCAGAGAAATACAAATCAAAACTACTTTGAGATATCATCTAACTCCAGCAAGATTAGCCCACATCACAAAATCCCCAAACTGTAGATGTTGGCATGGATGTGGAGAAAAGGGAACACTTCTACACTGCTGGTGGGAATGTAAACTAATACATTCCTTTTGGAAAGACGTCTGGAGAACACTTAGAGAACTAAAAATAGACCAGCCATTTGATCCTACAATACCTCTACTAGGTATATATCCAGAAGACCAAAAATCACACTACAACAAAGATATTTGTACTAGAATGTTCATTGCAGCCCAATTCATAATTGCTAGGTCATAGTGCCCATGGACCCATGAATGGATCAATAAATTGTGGTATATGTACACCATGGAATATTAAGCAGCCTTAAAGAAAGATGGAGACTTTACCTCCTTCATGTTTACATGGATGGAGCTGGAACATATTCTTCTTAGCAAAGTATCTCAAAAATGGAAGAAAAAGTATCCAATGTACTCAGCCCTACTATGAAACTAATTTATAGCTTTCATAGGAAAGCTATAACCCAATTCTTGCCCAAGAATATGGGGAAAGGGGAGAGGGAGAGGAGGAGGGGGGGAGGAAGTGTGGAGGGAGGGTGATTGGTGGGACCACATCTATGGTTCATCTTACAAGGGTACATGTGAATCTTTCTAAATGTAGAATATAAATGTCTTAACACAATAACTAAGAAAATGACATGATGCTATGTTAACCAGTTGGATGAAAATATTTCAGATTGTATATAGAACCAGCACACTGTACCCCATGACTGCATTAATGTACACAGCTATGATTTAATTAATAAAATAAAATAAAAATAAAAAATTCCATGTTGGGTTTGCTAGTCTCCGCTGTCACAATATAGGTGGCAACTGACTTTGTTCTGACTGAACTTTCGATTCTGGTTTCTTTTCTTCTACCCCCTTGGAAAAGACTGGTGTGTTTTTTAAGGGGCATGTCATTGTAATAATTTCAATAGTGACACCAGCTGGGCGCAGTGGCTCACGCCTGTAATCCTAGCACTCTGGGAGGCCGAGGTAGGTGGATTGCCTGAGCTTACAAGTTCGAGACCTGTCTGAGCCAGAATGAGAACTTGTCTCTAAAAAAAAATAGCTGGGCATTGTGGCAGACGCCTATAGCCCCACTACTTGGAAGGCTAAGGCAAGAGAATCACTTGAGCCCAAGAGTTGAGGTTGCTGTGAGTTATGATGCCACGGCACTCTACCAAGGGTGACAAATTGAGACTCTGTCTCAAAAAAAAAAAAGATAGTGACACCAAAATAATCCTTTGGAATGTCAAAGAAAACCCCACACATCTGTCAGCAGAAGGCTTGTCACAAATCCCATCCTGATCCTCTGGAGTACCAAGCCAGAGGGGCTGGATGGGGTGAGTGCTT